CAAGAGAGACCCAAGAGGGCCCACGACGGCCCAAACGGGTCGTCCTGTGAGGCTCACGGAACCCCCAAGACGGCCCAAAAGGCCCCAAAGCCAGCCCAGGAGGCCCCCAAGACGGCCTCAGGAAGGCCCAAGAGGGGCTCGTTCGAAATCATGTTCCCGGAATCCTCTCCGGGAACATGATTTCTGGGTTTCTAGGACGCCCAAGAGGGCCCCAGGACGGCCCCAAAAGGGCCCTAAAAGGACCTTCAAAAAGGCCCGGATGGCCACAGTTCATTGATTTGCGTGAGATGTTGTTGGGTTTCTTCCGCGCGGAGGAGACGGAGAGGGCGAAGGAGTTGGAGGAGGAGGAGGAGGAGGGGGAGGAAGAGGAAAAGGAGGAGGAGGCAGGGAGGAGGAGTGGAGGGGAGGAGGGTGGAAGAGAGAGGAGGAGGCTCGACGGCGATCGACGATCGGCGACGACGCCCGGCGACGGTGATTGACGACGACGACGACGACGACGACGACGATGACGACGACGACGACGACGACGACGATCGACGACGGTCGACGACCGACGACGACGACGATCGACGACGATGACAATAATAGTCGACGGCGCCGATCGACGATCGACGGCGACGACGACGGCCACGCCGACGGCGGCGACGCTGCCCGCGTGACAGCCCAAGAGGCACACAAGACAGCCTCATCGAGGCCCCAGAGGGCCCCAAGACGTCCAAGAGCGCCCCAACAGCGCCCGAGATGGCTTGAAGATGGCCGAAGAGGGCCCCAAGAGGGCCTTCAAGAGGCAAAACTTTACCCATTCCTCGTGTAAAACGTACAATTTCAGCATACTCGCTTGCTTCGTCCTCAGAGTGGCCCCCGAGGAGCCCCAAGACAGCCCAAGACGGCCCGAAAGGCCCCAAAGCCGGCCCAGGAGGCCCCCAACACGGCCTTAGGGAGGCCCAAGAGGGCCTCGTTCGAAATCATGTTCCCAGAAGCTTCTCCGGGAACATGATTTCCGGCCTCCCAGGACGCCCAAGAGGGCCCCAGGACGGCCCCAAAAGGGCCTAAAATGACACTCAAAAATTCTCAGAGGGCCACAGTTCGCTGATTTTCGCGAAATGTTGTTGGATTCGTTCCGCGCGGAGGAGACGGAGAGGGCGAAGGAGGAAGAGGAGGAGGAGGAGAAGAGGAGAAGGACGAGGCGGGGAGGAGGAGTGGAGGGGAGGAGTGGAGGGGAGTGAGGAGAAGGAGGCTCGAGGGCGATCGACGATCGGAGACGACGACCGGCGACGGTGATTCACGACGACGACGACGACCACGACGACGACCGATGACGATCGACGACGATGACAACAGTCGACGCCGCCGATCGATGATCGACGGCGACGACGACGACGGCCACGCCGACGGCGGCGACGCTGTCCGACAGCCTCAGCGAGGCCCAAGAGGGCCCCAAGACGTCCAAGAGCGCCTCAAGAGGGCCCGAGATGGTTTGAAGCTGGCCGAAGAGGGCCTTCAAGAGGCAAAAATCGGCCCATTCCCGTTGTACAACGTACGTTTTCAGCATACTTGCTTGCTTGGTCCTCACAGTGCCCCAGACGCCCCCGAGCCCCAAGACAGCCCAAGAGAGACCCAAGAGGGCCCAAGACGGCCCAAAAGGGTCGTCCTGTGAGGCTCACGGAACCCCCAAGACGGCCCAAGAGGCCCCAAAGTTGGCCCAGGAGGCTCCCAACACGGCCTCAGGGAGGCCCAAGAGGGCCTCGTTCGAAATCATGTTCCCAGAAGCCTCTCCGGGAACATGATTTCCTGGTTCCCAGGACGCCCAAGAGGGCCCTAAGACGGCCCCAAAAGGCCTTAAATGGACGTTCAAAAAGGCCCGGAGGGCCATAGTTCGTTGATTTGCGCGAGATGTTGTTGGATTTCTTCCGCGCGGAGGAGACGGAGAGGGCGAAGGAGGAGGAAGGAGGAGGAGGAGAAGGAAGAGGAGAAGGAGGAGGAGGCGGGGAGGAGGAGTGGAGGGGAGGAGGGGGGAGAGAGGAGGAGGCTCGAGGGCGATCGACGATCGGCGACGACGACCGGCGACGGTATTGACGACGACGGCGACGACGACGACGACGACGACGACGACGGTCGACGACCGACGACGACGACGATAGAAGACGATGACAACAGTCGACGTCGCCGATCGACGAACGACGGCGACGACGACGACGGCCGCGCCGACGGCGGCGACGCTGTCCGCGTGCGCAGAGCCACCCTGGACCCAGTCTTTTCTGCATCGTTCGAAATCCTGTCCCCGGAAGCGTCTCCGGGAACTTGATTTCAGGAGGAGGAGGAGGAGGAGAGGAGGAGGGAGGAGGAGGAAGAGGAAGAGGAGGAGATTAGGAGGAGGAGGAGGAGGAGGAGGAGGAGGAGAGGAGGAGGAGGGGGCGGGAGGGCTCGGGGCCGATCGACGATCGGCGACGGTGATCGGCGACGGTGATTGACGATGACGACGACGGTCGTCGACGCGACGACGACGACGACGACGACGATGGACGACGATGACAACAGTTGACGCCGCCGATCGGCGAACGGCGACGACGACGACGTCTTCACAGTGCCACCCCGAGGAGCCCCAAGACGGCCCAAGAGGGACCCAAGATGACCCATGAGAGCTACAAGCCAGCCCAAGAGAGCCCCAAAAGGCACCCAACAGAGCCACAACGGGGGCAAGCAGAGCTGCCTATAGAGATTCTCGGGGGGCCTCTTCCGAAGCGTCCGAAATCATGCTCCCCGAAGCCTCTATCGGAACATGATTTCCGGGTTCCCGGGACGCCCAAGGGGGCCCTGAGACGGCCCCGACAAGTCCTAAAAGGACGCCCGAAAAAAAAAACGGAGGGACGCAGTTCGTTGATTTCCGCGACATGTTGTTGGATTTCTTGCACGCGGAGGAGGTGGAGGAGGAGGAGGAAGAGGCAGGAAGAAGAGGATATGGGCGAGGAGGAGGAGGAGGAGGAGGGGGTGGAGAGAGAGAGAGGGGACGGGGGAGGACGAGGGAAAGAGCGACGATGACGATGATGATGCTCGCTGATGATGATGATAATGATGATGATGATGATGCTTATAGTTGATGATGATGATGATGATGATGATGATGATGATGATGATGATGATGGGGAGGGAAGAGGAAGAGGAGGAGGAGGAAGGACGACGAGGAGGTGGAGGAGGAGGAGGGGAGGCGGAGAGGAGGAGGAGGAGGAGGAGAAGACGAGGAGGAGGAGGAGGAGGAGGAGGGCGGAGGAGGAAGGAGCAGGAGGAGGGGAGGAGGATGTGGAGGAAGAGGAGAAAAGGAGGAGGAAGAGAAGAGGGAGGCCTCCCCCGAGTGTTCCCTTTATCCGATGTGGCCCAATGCTTGCGCGGCGTCGCAGTGCCGTTTGGCGAGCCATGTAGTCTGAACAGGGGGGGGGGAGGGAGACAGGAGGAAGGAGGAGTGAGAGGAGGAGGAGAGGAGGAGGGAGGAGGAGGACGAGAGGAGGCGGAGGAGGGGAGAAGAGGAGGAGGAGGGAAGGAGGAGGAGAGGAGGAGGAGGAGGGAAGGAGGAGGGAGAGGGGAGGGGGAGGAGGGAGGTGGAGGAACATGATGAGATGATGATGGATGGTGATGGTGATGGTGATGGTGGTGATGATGATGATGATGATGATGAGGAGGACGAGGAGGAGGAGGAGGAGGAGGAGGAGGAGGAGGAGGAGGTGGTGTGGAGGAGGAGGAGGTGGAGGAGGAAAGGAGGAGGAGGAGGGAAAGTAGGAGGAGATGGAGGAGGAGGCGGAGGAGGAGGAAGAGGAGGAAGATGAGGAGGAGGGAAAGGAGGAGGAGGGGAGGAAGGGGGCGGAGGAGGAGGAAGGGGGGAAAGGAGGGGGCGATGGGGGGAGGAGGAAAAGTAGGAGGCGAGGAGGAAGAGCAGGGAGAAAGAGGAGGACGAGGAAGGGGTGTCGTTTTCGGCCGCCTCGGGCCGCCTGGGGGTGAGGAGCGCCCGAAAGCTTTTTTCGAACCACGACCACGAAACTCGACGAATAACCGAATTGCATTCAGCCTTCAACCTCCTCGTCCGTTGTTTGGCCGTTGTCCCGGACGAAGCTAGAACCTACGCGCGCGCGTAGCGCGCGCGTGGTTCTAGTATATATAGACAATATATACATATGCATTGGTAGATGTGTAGATCCACATCTTGATTGGTTGCTATATTGATATATGTATAAATGTTTAGGTACACATTTCCACTTAACAGATTGATATAACAATATATAGTGCATTGATACATATATAGATATGTGAATAAATGGATGGGTGCATAGATCTAGTTATATATACATACATTTTTTTATTTATATATGTATATCGATGGATAGATTGATGAAGTGATGCGCTGTTAGACAGATAGAGAGAAACAAAACATATATGTCGATCGATTGATCGATTGATAAATGTACGGGTTGGTACATGTGTATATATATATATATATATATGTGTAAATATATGTATATAAACATATATATATATGTATGCATATCTATACATATATATATATATACATGTGTGTATATATGTATAAATTTGAATAAATGTGTGCGTGCATATATATATATATATATATATATATATATATCCTTGGGGGCCAGGCCCGCGGCCCCCAAACAGGTGCCCCGATCCCCCATGGGAGGACAGGGGGGCCCTGGAGCGCCCCTGGAGCGCACAAGACGACCCCAGATTGCCCCAAGAGCGCTCCACGACAGGCCCAGGGAGCTCCAAGACGTCTTCGCTGGCCCCGAGACGGCCCAGGAGGCCCCCAAGACGCTCCAAGAGAGCCCCGAGAGACGTCCGAACAGAGCCCCAAGAGGCCCAAATCGTCAGATTCCGATGCGTCGACGTATTTTTGTTGCATGTGCGCCTTTTCGGGTTTCCGACGGTCCAAGACGGCCCAAGAAGCGCCCAAGACCGCCCCGAGACGGGCCAAGAGGCCCCCAAGAGGCCCCCAAAATGGCCCCGGACGGCCCAAGGCATGCCCAAGCCGGCCCCAGAGAGCCCCAAGATGGCCCGTGGACGCTCCTCCGTAGCCATTTTGGCTCAAGCCATTGTGGTCCGGGCCAGCCCGCGCCCAGCCAGAGCGACTGGCCCACCGCGGCCCTGGGCGCGCCGCCGCACGCCGCGCCGCGCCAGATGGGGTGTACGCCGAGCGCCGTCGCCGAGGCGGGGTGCGCCACCGAGCAGGGGCTGCCAGGCCGGCACGCGCGGCCTCCCGCGGGCGCTGCGGGGCGCGAGTGCCCCGAGCAGTTCACCATCCGGCTGCACAAGGGCGCCGGCGACGCGATCGGCGCGAGCCTCGGGGACGTGCCGACGGGCGCGGTGCTGTACTGCGCCGAGGAGGGCGGCCTCCTCGACAGGTGGAACAAGGAGAACCCCGAGGCGGCCGTGCAGCCTGGCTTCATCATCGAGCAGGTGAACGGGGTTCGCGGGTATTGGGGCTTGCTGGAGGAGTTACGCGGCCCGGGGCCCCTCCACGTGAGGGTCAACACGGTGCCCCCGCCGTCGGCGGGCCCCAACTGGTTCGAGGATATCGCGACCATGGCGAAAAAAATCGAGCAAGACAGGAGCCCATTCATGGTCCGGCTGCAATCGGAGGCCTTGCAAGACGAGAAGGTGTTCAAATCCCTCCACGAAGTGGTCGCATGCGAGGCTGGGCTCGACCAATGCTCCATTTGCCTCGTGGACGTCGGCCCCAACGAGGTGCTCACCGAACTTCCCTGCAAGCACGCCTTCCATCCGCTGTGCGCTGCGCGCTGGCTCGTGCAGAGCTCCGCGCAGAGCGGCCCGAAGAGAAACAGCTGCCCGCTCTGCTGCCGCAAGTTGGTCGGCACGCGCGACGGCGTCGTGGCCGTCGACGTGGGGACTCTTCAGAAGCGGGGTTGACATAATATCTTCGCAGTTTTTTGGCGCGGTCCGACGTGCCTGGCAGTGCTGGCGCCCGCGGCCAAGGTTCTTGCGGTTCGGGGAAGCAAAACACCATACATATACATGTTTGGAGCTGCGGAGCTCCGACGTTTCGCCTTGCACAGTGTTCTAGTATCTCTCTAGTGGTGGAGAGGTCTCCGAACACGCGCAGTGTTGTGGTCTTGAATTCGATTTCTTGAGCCACCATGCGCCGATTAAGCGTATCATGATGGGCCCTAGGCGACATGCCAGAAATGGTTTTAGAGTCACCTTTGGGCCCAGGCTCGCTGGCTGCGATCGAACGTGCATTTTTCGTTTTGTTTGTTCTCCCGTTGTCTTTGGAGCGTGCCCTGGCAGGCGTGCTGTTTTCCTGACCGTTCCCTGGAGCGGCCTTGACACTGGAGTAATACTGACCATGTTCTCGAAGAATATGTTTTTGTCCAGGGCTTCTGCTTCAATTTCTTTGTGCCCGAGTTGACCTCCGTTGCCTCAGTGTTAAGGCCGGGGCTTCTCTGAGTGGACTGCGTATCGTTGGCCTTGACGAAAAAAACAAAAAAATTGCCCGTGGACGCTCCAGCGGCGCCCAAGACAGCCCAAGAGACCTCCACGGCGGCCCAGGAAGTGCCGGAGACTGCCCCATCGGGCCCCAGGAGGCCCGCAAGAGGCCCCAAGAGGCCCCAAGAGGCCCCAAAACGCTTCGCACAGAGGCCCCAAGAGGCGCCTAAACAGGCCCAAACAATGGCCAGTGAGGTGTCAAATTTGCTAGCGAGTGACCCCCCAGAGATTTCCCAAGAAACTTCGAAAACGTCCCTCAATTAGGGCAAGCCTCTGGAAGTCCGGACCCTTTCCCCGGGACCGAACTGTCATCCCGAGTCGTTGTTTGACGGTTTCGGGGCCCGGCAAGGGCTCCTGGGAACCAGAACTTGCCACAAACTTCCAGCCATGATTTTTGAGTATGTCTGGGCTGCTGCGCTCGCCTTTCGACCCCTTCTCTGGACGCCCGAAACGGGTACGGAAGGAATGGGTACAATGCCCAACAGCAGTTCCTGTTCATTTTGACCAGGATTCGCTGTCCACGCCGCCGCGGCCTGTGTCCATTCGAGAGAAGGCCGCCTGCCCAACAGCGGCCACCACTGTTGGTTTGGGACAACATTTGTTGTTGGGCGTTGTACCCATTTTTGCCGTACCCATTTCGGGCGTCCAAACCTTCTTCCTCGGCTGGTCCCGTTCGGTCCTCGGGCCCTCGCGCGCCCGAGACGACCCATGAGGTCCTTCAAATAGCACCCAAGGGGCTCCAGACGTCCCCATAAACGCCCGAAGACGGCCCGACGCGGACCAAGACGGCTGCAGATGCGCTCAAAACGGCCTAGGCGAATCGGCAAAATCGAGACGCCCGCCACGAGTGGCACACGAGGGCGCTCCACGACATCCCATGGAGCCCTGGCAGGCCTCCGAGACCCCCGAAACATCCCAACACAGCCCCATGACGCCCCCCGAAGAAGGCACCACTGCTGCCTTGGGAAAGGATCTCGCTATCGGAAAGAGCGTGTTCTACCGCTGCTAGCGGAAAACCGCGGGGGGTCACTACCGGTTCGAACCACTCCGCCCCCCCCTCCGGAAAACCGGGAGGGGTCACTACCGGTTCGATCCCCTCCCCCCCCCCCCTCCAGTTCATCATGAAAAGGGGGGGGGGTCACTACCAGTTCGACACCCCCCCCCCCCTTCGAGCTCGAAAACCGGGGGGGGTCACTACCGGTTCGAACCCCCCCCCCCTCGAAAACAGAGGGGGGGTGCGGACAGTGGTGGGGACGGTGGTGGTGGGGACAGTGGTGAGGGGACAGCGGGACAGTGGTGGGAACAGTGGGACAGCGGTGGGGACGGTAGTGGTGGGGACAATGGTGAGGACAATGGTGGGAACAGTGGGGACAGTGGGACAGTGGTGGGGGCGGTGGTGGTGGGGACAGTGGTGTGGGGACAGTGGGAATGTGGTGGAAACATTAGGACAGTGGAGGGTACAGTGGTGGTGGGGACAGTGGTGAAGGCGGTGGCGAGGACGGCGGTGGGACAATGGGAAAGAGGTACAGTGGGGACAGTGGTAGGGACAGTGGGGACAGTGGTGGGAACAGTGGGACAGCTCAGTGGTTCGAACTGGTAGTGACCCCCCCCTCCGGTTTTCGAGGGGGTGGGGGGGGGTTCGAACCGGTAGTGACCCCCCCCCCGGTTTTCGAGCTCGAGGGGGGGGGGGGTAGGGGAGGGGGGGGGGGTTGCCGGGAGAGGGGGGGGGGGGAGGGGTTCCAGCAGGGGGGGGGGATTTTCGGAGGGGGGGGGCCCCGGGTTCCGGAGGAAAAGGGCGGCAATTTTCCACAGTAAAGCGGCGGTGGATCACGCTCTCTCCGCTATCGGCATCCTTCGACAAGCCTCATAGTCTGCCTCAAACGAATAATGAACTGTGAAACCAGCAATTCTGCACAGCGCGTTCCGGCAGGACCTGCGGAACACGCTAGACGAGGAGGAGGATTACGAGGAGGAGGAGGAGGAGGAGGAGGAGGAGGAGGAGGAGGATTACGAGGAGGAGGAGGAGGAGGAGGAGGAGGAGGAGGAGGAGGAGGAGGAGGAGGGAGGAGGAGGAGGAGGAGGAGGAGGAGGAGGAGGAGGAGGAGGAGGAGGAGGAGGAGGAGGATTACGAGGAGGAGGAGGAGGAGGAGGAGGAGGAAAATCCGACACTTCCGGCCCCAGAAACCCCCAGGAAGCCCCCGAGAGCCCACGAGAGGTCCCAGGCAGCCTCTGAAGTCTGGCCCAGGACGGCCGAGCACGGCCCGCAGACGGCCCAGAGGTGCCCGACATGGCCCAAGGAGTTCCAGACGGCTCACTGTGTCGGGGGAGCGTAAGACCCGGGTTTGCCAGGACTCGGGTTCGCCATCGTTTTTTGACGACCGCGCCTCGGATTTTGACGAGGAGGAGTGTTGTGGGATGTTTGCAGCGGGAGGCCTCGTCAAAATGCAGGCTCGGCCTCGTCATTTTTTTGACGACCTCGCCGGGGATTTCCGAGTCCCCCGTACCCGGGTCTTACGTCTCCCCGTCACTGGCAGTCTCGAACACGAGCAGTGAAGACAGAAACCAGCACGTGTGCACAGCGCGTTCCGGCAGGACCTTTCCAGAGCACGCTGGAGGAAAAGGCAGGCGAGGAAGCGGAACGAAGAGAAAGGGGGAGCCGAAAGCCGAGGAGGAGGAGGTTGGTCTAGAGGTCCCCCTCCTTTCCTTCCAACGCAGCTCCTGCTTACAGTGCCGTTTTTGATACATGCTCCGCGTGCGGATCATGCATGAAAAATGCAGGGGTTTCGTTTTAAAATACAACGATGAGTTCATGCATACATTTATCCATACATTAATCATGTTTTGAAATCCTACATGATTAAAAATCCAATGTACAAAAAAAAAATGCCCTGTAGGGCGCCGCGGGTGCCCACGAGCTGAAAATCTGCGCACCAGTGCAACCCTCGAAGATGTTTCACGACGACGCACGTCTGGAGATCCTTGCGGGGCACGGTCCGCGTCCGGCGTGTGCCGCAAGATGTGCCCGTGCGCGACGCGAGCCCTCCCTCTGAGCCTCTCGGTGGGGCTTCTGTTCAGAGCGTGAATTACCTACCCCGCTTTCGCTTCCAGGCAAGACCAAGTCATACCACGCGCCTCCTCGTCAAGCGGCCTGACCAGTACAGGCCGTAGTTTGGCATCGTTTGGTATCTCTTGGAAGCGAGGGTGGTCAAAAGCGAGGTAGGTTTGTTTTCCCCCTATCTGTGGAGAGCGATGCGTGTGAGGGGTGCGCCGATTAGCCGTGGGACCCTCTGCGAGCCTTATTTCTGAACCCGCATGTGGAACCCCCTGTGGACCACGGTGCGCGTCAGGTGTGTGCCGACATGGGCGGCGCAGCGGGATGCCAACCATGCTTCTGGGGCCGTCGGGCGAGTTCCCCGTGAGCACGATGCACGTTAGCCGTGAGTCCCGATACGCCGAGGGTGGAAGCCTCGATGGTTGCGGAGATGCGGCTCCCGGCTTGTGAATGCTTTGCGTAACGTTCCCATCGCAGCTGGTTTCATGCCCATGCGTCGCATGGGGCAGACACTGGCCATGAGCGTACAAGACTACCTCAGGCCCTCTTGGGGCCGTCTTAGGCGATTTTCGACACTCCAATCCCTCGCGCCTCCCCCATCCAGACCCAGGGAGGGGGGGAGGGGAGGCAACCCTTTCCGAATTGAAACGTCTCTGCGCTCTTGGGAGCCCCTGTGGCTGTCTCGAGCGCTTCGGAGACCGAGGAGCCGAGTGTGCGAAGCCAGCATCGGGACCTCAGGAGACCTTATAGTTGCTGCCTCCTGTGGGCCTCTTGGGAGTCGCATTTGACTCTAAAGGAGGCTGGGGCAAAGGCGAGAGACAGCGAGCGTCTGTCCGCGGCCGTTTGTGCTCAAGCGGCCGGCCGCCAAGATATGACTGCGCCTCATCGCGAGGCACACCATTCGCCATCGAGACCGAAAACATCTTCGCTTGACATGGCTCGTCGTTCCCGCGACTCACTCCTACACTTGGGACTATCGTTACTAAGGTACAACATAATTGAATATGGGCTTCGCCTTAGGCGAAGCTGCTGGTTGGGCCTCCCAACCCATTTCAAACTATTTAACCCCATTCGGCCATCTGGGGAGCCCGCTGGGCCGTCGAGTGGCCATCTTGGGCCCATCTTGGGCCGTCTTGGTTTTGATGGGTTGATAGATCGATGGACAGATGCGCGCGACAATACGAAAGTTGAAGAAATTACCAAAGAACCCAGAGCCATCGCAAATCGACCGCCTCCCCCTCCCTCCCCGACCGACCTCCTCATTACCCGTAGGGTGGTACTATCGGTATTCCGAAGAGGCTGCGCTATGCGATTTTCTTTCTTGCTATTTTTTCTTTTTTGACAGTTTTTCATATAAAGAAGCATGCGCCGCGACGTTGCGCGATTTTGGGTCTCTTCTATAAAATCGCTTCCGGCATGGGTCCTCCTGCCCTGTCTACCTCGTTTCGGCCAGCTTCCGGGTGACTAGGGCATGTTGGTTCCAATGCGACCCGCCAGTTTCACAGCGCAGTTCTGCTTGGCCCACTCGAGCCAGGCCACGCTGCAATATTGAGACGGCCTATCTTCAGCACGATTGAGGTTTTCAGCCGTTTGCCGGATGAAGTTGCCGGATGAAGTAGTGGTTTGTCGCAGTGTGCACGTTTTTTTCAACGCGGGCTGCAACGCAAAGCGAAGGCACTTGCATCAATTCGGCGGCCAGAATGGCAGCACATGTTTCGCGCGGGTGTGTGCATATAGTTTCACTTCAATGTCATACTCTTGTGGGGGGGTGCTTCGTAGAACAACGGGAGTTTCGAGCCTCCCCTTCGGTTGCACGCAGGTTCCGCAACGTCAGGGACACGTTTGGAATTTGAGCCAAAATGGCACCTTCTCCTACTCCTCCTCCTCCGTAGCCATTCTGGCTCACATCCGTAGCGCACACTCAGGGGCCAGCAGCGGGCAGGAG